CTCTATCAATCCAAGCATGTCTCAGATACGAATCCAGAACTGAATTCTTTAAAACAAAATGGCCACCATTTCGAACCCGATCCAAAAAAAAAAATGATGTGCATCAAGGTCCTATTATGTTTAATGGATGTACCAAATTTGAACAAAATCCGTCCATGCATAACTGAGATCCGGGTTCGGAATGGTGAAAATGTGCGATTTTGATGCATTTTCGGCCTTAAAATGGCCGCTATTCGGCTATCGTTAATCGGATCATGAAAAAAATGCATGTGCATATGTCCCATATAATGTGTGATGTATGAGTGAAGTTTGAACTTAATCGGTCCATGCATGTTTGAGATACAGGTGATCACGGACGCACGGACGGACGCACACAGGGCAAAACATAAGTCCACGTTTTCGGACTGCGTCCGAACGGGGACTAATAAAATGTGTTCATAGAAAGATGCCCATCAGGAAAGGAATAAATGCTAGATTTTGAAGTATTGTGAACATTCAATTATTTTTCCATCTTGAAAACAAATCAGCATCTGTACCAGTTGGCCATTTTGAATGCATCAAAGATTGAATGAAATGTGTACACACAAAGCAGAAACTCTTGATTTTTAGCGCTAAAATGGCTGCCATTTGGCCATCTTAAATTGGATCATTAAATAAATGCATGTCAACATCAGTCAGTCATGTTTAACGGACAAAAAAGTTATTTATTGTCCTATGTATTAGGGTTTGAAAGCAATTTGTCAATGCTTGTCTGAGAGATGGCTTTGGGACCAGCTCCTTTGCATAGCAAATCATTTTACAAACATGCCTTGCATCCATATAACAAAACAAAACAATCGAGTCTACACTTGGATTTTATTCCCAAATATCACAATATTGGTATGTGGGTTATAACAATACTCAAATGTTAGTTATTACAAAATAAAAATATCCTGGATATGACAGCTGTAACAGTGCAATAAATATTTGGTACAAAACTGACATAAAAACAGATTTGTACACGCAATATTCTGTTTAAAATTTCAAGTTAACAAATCACACATACAGCACAGACATGAACTTATTTCACAGATGTGGTTAGACATATTTGGTTGTTGCTATTACAGTCAAAATAAATATAGTGACCTTTGGTATAAGTACCGGTAATATTGTAACATTAGTAGAAGAATGACTATACAACGCACGACACCACAAAGCCATTATATTGGTCAACAGGTAGGAATAACCAACTTGCTGCCATAATGCCAATATGTGATTTATTTTGTAACATGATCCAAATCGAGAATGGCATTCTATATTGGCAAGCAGTTCATTTTCCCCACATTCAGCAGAAATCCCATGTGCAGAAACAAAATGGCTGCCATATCACAACTCCCAATCAAAGGTCAAACCAGTGCCTCGCATTTTCTCTTGATATAATTCATCGAACAGTTCATTCTGTGCTACACTAAAATGATTTTTCCAGTCTCCGACTTCACCTGAAAGTAATCAAACATACGTTTATACATTGGCACAAAATCTGTTCTGAACTTCAAGAGATTTTCTTTCCTTGATATACAACTATTGAATTTGACAATAGAACAAAGTATACAATGCAATTTAACACAAGAGTAGATTCAAGAGAATAATAAAAATTATTAAAATGTGTGACATCCAAAATGTGAATTGACATGCATTAATATTATCACAAAATAAAGCTGTTTTACAGTACCTTTTCTGTGAAATTGTCCTTTCTTGTGGTTGATAAAATGAGCTCCGGAATAGTTGGCCATGGGATTTTTCTTCATTTTATCAAAGGTACAATGCTCAACAGCGGCATCAATCTTGTCAACTGGCAATGGATATCCATAAAAGTCAGCCATACGAATCATCTCTCCTCTCAAATCCTGTAAAAAAAATTGTAAATTCTTCATTTTTAGGAACTGTGGTCATGGATAAGGTCATTCATTCATCCATGTTCAATTCTGTTGGTTATAATACATTGTTGAGAACACAACATTCATGGCACTCGCAAGTGTCTGCTGCCCTCTACATAGTTCAAAATAAAAACTTTACGCTCTAAATTGGCATTCCAACAATATGGGCAATAAAAGCATCCATGGGTATCTTACCTTTTTCATGTCCTCAAATTTGACAAACATGATGTTTGGATCATGCCGGTGTTCCCACCATTTTTTATTGTGGTCAAACCAAGAACCATAAATGACTGGAAAAAATACAAAAAGTGATATTTTTGTCATAGAAAGTCGAAGCATAGTCCTGGGTGTGCAGGCAACCTAACTAAAACTCCTTGTGGAAAGCACTGATCATAACGTGCATTTTTTAAGACTTGCAAATATGATAATAGATTTATAACTATGGCAACTACTCACCATCCCCTTCCACAAATTTGGGAAAGAAGTCTGAGAATGTTTCATATGTTACAAAAAAGTGGTTGATTTTCGTAAAATGCCATCCAGAAACTGCAGTGTCTTTTGGATTGCGAGCCACATACAATGTCTGAAATAGGAAACAGTCTTGTTATTATACAATGCTTGTAGACAGTGAGGCTTGCACAGTTTCTTCCAGGATATCCCTAATTTTCATTATATATGGGCATGGCAAAACATAGTCATACTCATAAACTATGTGGAAATCGCTGAAAGAATCTGTTGTAGCGCTGAACACTACTAATTCTACTAAAAGTCAACTCCGCTGTCACTAAATTATTCAAATTCAAGTCTTGTCTCTGTTTTTAGCATCTTTTTTTTAGATTTTAGACTTGCAGAAGCCCCTTCCCACAATGCATTTATTTATCTACAGTTGTCCGCATTTTGCCAACATACTCAAGTAGTCATTGGTGGGACGAGATAGTTGCATGTACATGGAGTCACAGATTTTGGCCCGGTCATTGGGCCCCAGTGCGTTACCATGGTTGGAGGCGAATCCTATCAGAGCTCAACCCCAAGCTATGAAAAAATGCAGTTGTGTAAATGCAGCAATTATGGTATATCTAGATGTCAAGATTTCCATAAAAATATAGTCACACCTCAGGGAATAGAAAAAAAAGGTTGTTTTAAAGACACTGACAGTAAATTATCAGGTACCCATTGTTTATAAAACTACTAATTGCAAGTCATTTGTAAGTTAAATAGGACACTTTCTGCCCCAGGCTTGTCACAGTTACCCCCACAATGTTTAAATACATGATATTATTTGAAGCATTGCAGCCCTCAGAGGCATGCTTTCTGAACCAAAACATAGTTCAGCATATTTTCAAGCCAGGGAATATATTCATGGGTATTTACAGGTAAACCTAGAGGTAAATTTTAGCACCATAAAATACTAGGCAAAAAATAAAATTTTGCATAAATTTAGTCTAAACTAGGCCATGGTTTGTTTGACAACAAGCTCCATGTCAGATCAGAAATCAGAAAAACGCACCTCAAAAACGTTAACTACATGAACATTTCACTATACATATTTTGTTGCATTATTCGGGCACTTAAATTGGATGGAGGATTATTTTTGCAAAAACATGTATTAAGGAAAGGAAGGAAGAGGCATTTCCCAGCATGCACTGCAAGGCTATACATGTTTTCTGTCGTGAAACAATCACTTTCCACATAATTTTTACTACATGTACTTGAATACATCCCCAGCTGATACATGCAGTGATGTTTGTGTGATTGTACAAGCAAGATATTTTAGGGCTTGTCTCCTGGCTGCTGGTTTGGAAGGGAATGAAGAAAAAGTGAACAAAGCTTATACTGTTTCCAGTACTGTCAATCTTTCACTAATTTAAGGCAATATTAGGGCATGATGGGCAATAACATTCAAGGCATGATGGGTAATAACTATAAATACAATTTGTACCTTTGGTTTTTTCTCAAACCACTGCTTAGGCATCAGATGATATGGTAAATGTGTTCGAATAAGACGTGGTGACGGCAACTCTTCAACCATCTTGTAAGAGGCTGGTTGTGGACCAAGCGGTCCCAGCTCCAAATATGGTACTCTCTGCAATAGTGGCTTACTTTTTACTTTCTCCAAATCGGCTCCTTCAACAATCACAGATGTGACCTCTTGACCCCATGTTGTACCTGTGAAAAAAGCAGGAAATAATGTAATATCACTTTACTCAATACCAAGTTGTATCAGAATATCAAATTATATTTCACCGTAATAGACACAAGGTACATTTTGAATTTTACATTTTGAATGACTTCTGAGGAAGTTTAAAAATCCAAATTAAATGCAAATGTGCTATACTAAACTTACTTCACATAGATGAAAGAAAAGAAAAGTTAGATCCAAACAAGCACACTTGATAAGCAAGGTCACCTTGAATGCTGCTGGACAGAAGTCTCTTTAATTCATGCATACTTTAGATGTCACGTGACCAGAAATTGCAGCTCGTTAACTGCTTTGGAGAAAGGTCTTCAAAAAAAATATTTGTAGGTGACTTAGAACACAAACGAAAATGTGGTGGCCTTTGATTTTTGTTTATAAAATGTAACATTACTAATTACATCAGTTGTACTGACATATTGCTGTGTACTTTATTAGTTGATGGGTGATTTGGTCAGGTTGAACAGTAAAATTAAAATGTTAACGAGTCAATTCAGACATCCATTGATGGTATAATGGTGCTAAAACAAGATAGCTCCATGGTGTTAATTAGTGTCCTCTCAAAGCTTATTTTAAGTGTTTGCCATTTATTACAGTCTTGACTTGCCCAGTCTTTGACATGCAGTCATTGACATGCATCCAAGCAAGAAAGTTTTAAACTCAAGACATGCATACCAACCCTATAACCATTAAAGCATAGCTCTGTAGTCCCTGGGATTGCTCCAATGCATACTGGGAAATTATAAACACTATCCAATAAACCAACGTCCGAGTTTAAAACAGACGAGAATAATATTTAAATCTTGTCCAATTAGTTAATGCTGAAATCCTATTCCACGAATATTCACAATTGCTTGCAATAGAAACATATAGTACTCCATGTATTGATTCTGATCATCAAAAAAAAAGCAATTTTGCCAAGTACTTCGACCAGATTTGTGGTTCGTACACCTTCACATTATCACATCATGGTGTATCATAATCAACCCCACACTGGATGGGGAGAAAGAGTAGTAACACGATTACACTGACTGGCTCTAAACAAATAATGAGCAATAAGAATAGGGCATGACATCTGCTTAGAAAGCAATTACACACTTTCTTTTGACTTTTGAACTCTTGCATCTTTACACAAGATGCAATTATACATGTATACAAGAACCCTAATCAAACTGAACCACATTTAATATAGCAGGGTATTTATTTAAATAGCGGTAAATTGAACTTTGAATGATTAACCACCCCCCCCCCCCTCACACAAATTTCATACCTATAATTGGTCACATGACAGATGGTACTTATCACAAAGTGTCAACAATTTATTTACCCACTACTTGTGTTAATACTGATATAGTTTTCAGATTGGTGATACAAACACCGTGTTTGACACTCAAAACACTACAAGAGTTGACATCAATCGTGGAAGCTACAGTACACAGGAACTTTAAATATAAATAGCCATGTCTTTTATAACCATTGTGTCCTTTATAACCATAGTTTAAACCATGCGTTAACAAAAGTAACATTTTTTTAATGTTCCTGACATTTTCATTGTATTATATTAGCCACATAGTTTTAATTTTATGTATGTTACCAGTGCTACATTTGAGTTATTCTGAGTACAACAGCGCAGCACCCTCATGCCATGGCCATGCGCCCCTTCTCTGGCAACCATAAAATTCTGATTGACCAGGGATCACATGTGGCCAGTCTTCAACTGTGACCTGTCTGATAGTAATTTTAATTATCAAAAACTCGCCGCTGAATTGCAGTGCTCTTGCAGTTGTTTTTAGAAAAAACCCTGCATGCAGTTATAAAAACTACATATCAGGGAACCAACAGATTAATTTATGTTCATTGGTGGTACACTATTAAAGCATAGTATTCTGAGTTGGATATTAATTTATGGCTATGTAGTAACCTAAAGATCAGTGAAAATTAACTTCATCAGAACATGGTGGGCGCCATTTACAACAGCTTGACTGGAAAAGAACTAATTTCTAAAATTTATGATATAAATGTATATATGTATAAATGAATGAATTTAGTGAACTAAAACAACTTGGCTCAAATGCAACCCTATTAGAGATTTGCTTTTAATAGAGCGAATATAATACATTAGTAATTAGTGTTTTTAGTTTATGACAAATTCCACTACTGTATTCAATTATTTGAAATTTTAAAAAATCCCAATCCAGAGCATATCAACATGCACTACATATAACTAATGTATATTATAGCCTTACAAACACCCTAAGTCCTTGATTATACCATGGTCTTTACAAACCCCCTAAGTTCTTTATTATACCATGGCCTTTACAAACTTCATTATAATATTAAACAAATTGAATGTGTTCGTATAGATTTTGTTTTATGAATGGATAAAAAAAGCGTACAATTTATTTAGTTCAATATAGTAGTTAGTTTCTGGAATACACTAACATTAACGGATCAGTTGAATCATTGCAGTACATGTGTATCATAACTAACACATGTTGAGAGCACACGTGTTACGATCGGAACAGAATTTTCCATCATGCAGTAGCCGGTCAACACGACTACGCCTAGCGAAGTAGCACGCATAAACACGAACAATACAAAAATACCAAGTAACTACCCAAGTACAAATGAAACACGCCCTTTTGTTTAGTATTTATATATTTTTTGCATATAAAAAGGGACAATACTATACGAGGAAATGTTTGATATTGAATGCAAGGAGTTTGGTCAGACGTAAAAACGCGGTATATACTAAGATAAGAAGTGTCAAGAATGGTATTTGTTTTGTTCACGTATCTCTTAGTTCCCGTACATTGACAGGAGTTAATTGACATAAGATTACGGTCACGGGTGACTTCATTGAGAAATTGTAGCAAAATGTTTCAGGATTTGTCCAAAAAAAATGACCGACGCGATACGAGTTTGCCACCACGTGGGTAAGAGTGGTGGGTACATCTGTCACATGTTTACAAAATGGTAAATTGAATACAGTGAGCCGAACTTTCGAAGTGAAAGTACAGTCATGTTGTCCCAACCACACCCACAAAGCCAAGGACACGACACAAAAAGACCAAACTTTTACTCTACCTGCTTTGGGGTACGTTACAACCCAAATATCATCTTCACGAACCTCCATCTCTAGAATGGCATCAAACGTCGGAGCCGGCGTGATTGCCAGCATACGAATGCCCTTGTAGTAATGATCTGGGGGTGGTTTGAAGTCATCGGGTAACGTGGATTTAGCTGCCATTTTCTTGTCTGTTTCACCGTCGGTCTTCGGCCGCTTACTGCTCGGTTCGTCAACAGTTTTCATTTGGATAGTTTTACCGTCGATCGCTCGGCGTGAAATATGGTAGGCGGAATTGATTCTGAGCATGCGCAATGACATCACATGGGTGACATGAAAGGAAAATTCCAATATCAAAGCCGAGGATCAATAAAAGAGAAATTTACATGATAATCACGTGCGTGATACTCCAGTCACGTGTTAGCTGGAATGACGACTATTCACAATCATTGGCGCCAAACTTCGTATCATGTGACCACGATGAAGAAAAGTCGAATTCCTATCATACCGAGAGGAAATATATGTATGATTGTTTTAAATTCAATCTACACATTTAGTACACGGCTGAGCCACTCAATGAGGGTAACAAATAAAAAGGCATTCTTAACCCAGTTGTAAAGAATAATATTGATTGACACACAATACAGATAAAGATAAAAATTGCCATACACGACAAAACAAGCAACCTGTTACTCGCAATCTTCAATCGAAGTTATCTGAATACTCCTAGTCAAGGCTGCAACTTGTATGTTTTACATAAGGGTATACGATGAACAAGCTTTTGGTGAAATCTTGCCCCGGGGGACAAA